ACAATTGGGCAGTTTAGCAAGGACTACAGGACTAGTATGTATGTTCCCATTTCACCTCACCCACCTCCATGTATCTATCAGTGTTATCTATGTTCCCATTTCACCTCACCCACCTCCATGTATCTATCAGTGTTATATATGTTCCCATTTCACCTCACCCACCTCCATGTATCTATCAGTGTAATGTATGTTCCCATTTCACCTCACCCACCTCCATGTATCTATCAGTGTGATGTATGTTCCCATTTCACCTCACCTACCTCCATGTATCAACAGTGTTATGTATGTTCCCATTTCACCTCACCCACCTCCATGTATCTATCAGTGTTTCTATGTATGTTCCCATTTCACCTCACCCACCTCCATGTATCTATCAGTGTGATGTATGTTCCCATTTCACCTCACCCACCTCCATGCATCTATCAGTGTTATGTAAGTTCCCCTTTCACCTCACCCACCTCCATGTTTCTATCAGTGTTATGTATGTTCCCATTTCACCTCACCCACCTCCATGTATCCATCAGTGTTATGTATGTTCCCATTTCACCTCACCATCCTCCATGTATCTATCAGTGTTATCTATGTTCCCATTTCACCTCACCCACCTCCATGTATCTATCAGTGTTATGTATGTTCCCATTTCACCTCACCCACCTCCATGTTTCTATCAGTGTTATGGATGTTTCCATTTCACCTCACCCACCTCCATGTATCTATCAGTGTTATCTATGTTCCCATTTCACCTCACCCACCTCCATGTATCTATCAGTGTTATCTATGTTCCCATTTCACCTCACCCACCTCCATGTATCTATCAGTGTTATCTATGTTCCCATTTCACCTCACCATCCTCCATGTTTCTATCAGTGTTATGTATGTTCCCATTTCACCTCACCATCCTCCATGTATCTATCAGTGTTATGTAAGTTCCCATTTCACCTCACCCACCTCCATGTATCTATCAGTGTGATGTATGTTCCCATTTCACCTCACCCACCTCCATGTATCTATCAGTGTGATGTATGTTCCCATTTCACCTCACCCACCTCCATGTATCTATCAGTGTTATGTATGTTCCCATTTCACCTCACCCACCTCCATGTATCTATCAGTGTTATGTATGTTCCCATTTCACCTCACCCACCTCCATGTATCTATCAGTGTTATGTATGTTCCCATTTCACCTCACCCACCTCCATGTATCTATCAGTGTTATGTATGTTCCCATTTCACCTCACCCACCTCCATGTATCTATCAGTGTGATGTATGTTCCCATTTCACCTCACCCACCTCCATGTATCTATCAGTGTGATGTATGTTCCCATTTCACCTCACCCACCTCCATGTATCAACAGTGTTATGTATGTTCCCATTTCAACTCACCCACCTCCATGTATCTATCAGTGTGATGTATGTTCCCATTTCACCTCACCCACCTCCATGTATCTATCAGTGTTATGTATGTTCCCATTTCACCTCACCCACCTCCATGTATCTATCAGTGTTATGTATGTTCCCATTTCACCTCACCCACCTCCATGTATCTATCAGTGTGATGTATGTTCCCATTTCACCTCACCCACCTCCATGTATCTATCAGTGTTATGTATCTTCCCATTTCACCTCAACCACCTCCATGTATCTATCAGTGTGATGTATGTTCCCATTTCACCTCACCCACCTCCATGTATCTATCAGTGTTATGTATGTTCCCATTTCACCTCACCCACCTCCATGTATCAACAGTGTTATGTATGTTCCCATTTCACCTCACCCACCTCCATGTATCTATCAGTGTTATGTATGTTCCCATTTCACCTCACCCACCTCCATGTATCTATCAGTGTGATGTATGTTCCCATTTCACCTCACCCACCTCCATGTATCTATCAGTGTGATGTATGTTCCCATTTCACCTCACCCACCTCCATGTATCAACAGTGTTATGTATGTTCCCATTTCAACTCACCCACCTCCATGTATCTATCAGTGTGATGTATGTTCCCATTTCACCTCACCCACCTCCATGTATCTATCAGTGTTATGTATGTTCCCATTTCACCTCACCCTCCTCCATGTATCTATCAGTGTTATGTATGTTCCCATTTCACCTCACCCACCTCCATGTATCTATCAGTGTGATGTATGTTCCCATTTCACCTCACCCACCTCCATGTATCTATCAGTGTTATGTATCTTCCCATTTCACCTCAACCACCTCCATGTATCTATCAGTGTGATGTATGTTCCCATTTCACCTCACCCACCTCCATGTATCTATCAGTGTTATGTATGTTCCCATTTCACCTCACCCACCTCCATGTATCAACAGTGTTATGTATGTTCCCATTTCACCTCACCCACCTCCATGTATCTATCAGTGTTATGTATGTTCCCATTTCACCTCACCCACCTCCATGTATCTATCAGTGTTATGTATGTTCCCATTTCACCTCAACCACCTCCATGTATCTATCAGTGTTATGTATGTTCCCATTTCACCTCACCCACCTCCATGTATCTATCAGTGTGATGTATGTTCCCATTTCACCTCACCCACCTCCATGTATCTATCAGTGTTATGTATGTTCCCATTTCACCTCACCCACCTCCATGTATCTATCAGTGTTATGTATGTTCCCATTTCACCTCACCCACCTCCATGTATCTATCAGTGTTATGTATGTTCCCATTTCACCTCACCCACCTCCATGTATCTATCAGTGTGATGTATGTTCCCATTTCACCCCACCCACCTCCATGTATCTATCAGTGTTATGTATGTTCCCATTTCACCTCACCATCCTCCATGTATCTATCAGTGTTATCTATGTTCCTATTTCACCTCACCCACCTCCATGTATCTATCAGTGTTATGTATGTTCCCATTTCACCTCACCCACCTCCATGTATCTATCAGTGTTATGTATGTTCCCATTTCACCTCAACCACCTCCATGTATCTATCAGTGTGATGTATGTTCCCATTTCACCTCACCCACCTCCATGTATCTATCAGTGTTATGTATGTTCCCATTTCACCTCACCCACCTCCATGTATCAACAGTGTTATGTATGTTCCCATTTCACCTCACCCACCTCCATGTATCTATCAGTGTTATGTATGTTCCCATTTCACCTCACCCACCTCCATGTATCTATCAGTGTGATGTATGTTCCCATTTCACCTCACCCACCTCCATGTATCTATCAGTGTGATGTATGTTCCCATTTCACCTCAACCACCTCCATGTATCAACAGTGTTATGTATGTTCCCATTTCAACTCACCCACCTCCATGTATCTATCAGTGTGATGTATGTTCCCATTTCACCTCACCCACCTCCATGTATCTATCAGTGTTATGTATGTTCCCATTTCACCTCACCCTCCTCCATGTATCTATCAGTGTTATGTATGTTCCCATTTCACCTCACCCACCTCCATGTATCTATCAGTGTGATGTATGTTCCCATTTCACCTCACCCACCTCCATGTATCTATCAGTGTTATGTATCTTCCCATTTCACCTCAACCACCTCCATGTATCTATCAGTGTGATGTATGTTCCCATTTCACCTCACCCACCTCCATGTATCTATCAGTGTTATGTATGTTCCCATTTCACCTCACCCACCTCCATGTATCAACAGTGTTATGTATGTTCCCATTTCACCTCACCCACCTCCATGTATCTATCAGTGTTATGTATGTTCCCATTTCACCTCACCCACCTCCATGTATCTATCAGTGTTATGTATGTTCCCATTTCACCTCAACCACCTCCATGTATCTATCAGTGTTATGTATGTTCCCATTTCACCTCACCCACCTCCATGTATCTATCAGTGTGATGTATGTTCCCATTTCACCTCACCCACCTCCATGTATCTATCAGTGTTATGTATGTTCCCATTTCACCTCACCCACCTCCATGTATCTATCAGTGTTATGTATGTTCCCATTTCACCTCACCCACCTCCATGTATCTATCAGTGTTATGTATGTTCCCATTTCACCTCACCCACCTCCATGTATCTATCAGTGTGATGTATGTTCCCATTTCACCCCACCCACCTCCATGTATCTATCAGTGTTATGTATGTTCCCATTTCACCTCACCATCCTCCATGTATCTATCAGTGTTATCTATGTTCCTATTTCACCTCACCCACCTCCATGTATCTATCAGTGTTATGTATGTTCCCATTTCACCTCACCCACCTCCATGTATCTATCAGTGTTATGTATGTTCCCATTTCACCTCACCCACCTCCATGTATCTATCAGTGTGATGTATGTTCCCATTTCACCTCACCCACCTCCATGTATCTATCAGTGTGATGTATGTTCCCATTTCACCTCACCCATCTCCATGTATCTATCAGTGTTATGTATGTTCCCATTTCACCTCACCCACCTCCATGTATCTATCAGTGTTTCTATGTATGTTCCCATTTCACCTCACCCACCTCCATGTATCTATCAGTGTTATGTATGTTCCCATTTCACCTCACCCACCTCCATGTATCTATCAGTGTTATGTATGTTCCCATTTCACCTCACCCACCTCCATGTATCTATCAGTGTGATGTATGTTCCCATTTCACCTCACCCACCTCCATGTATCTATCAGTGTTATGTATGTTCCCATTTCACCTCACCCACCTCCATGTATCTATCAGTGTGATGTATGTTCCCATTTCACTTCACCCACCTCCATGTATCTATCAGTGTTATGTATGTTCCCATTTCACCTCACCCACCTCCATGTATCTATCAGTGTTATGTATGTTCCCATTTCACCTCACCCACCTCCATGTATCTATCAGTGTGATGTATGTTCCCATTCCACCTCACCCACCTCCATGTATCTATCAGTGTTTCTATGTATGTTCCCATTTCACCTCACCCACCTCCATGTATCAACAGTGTTATGTATGTTCCCATTTCACCTCACCCACCTCCATGTATTAACAGTGTTTCTATGTATGTTTCAGGTCTTGACATCAGCAAACCTCTGAAGAACAGCTTCATCCACACCGGTCATGGGGACGTGGGAGGCAACACATGGGGGGACCCCAGCGCCATCGACGAGTACGTAGCCATCTGTGGCAGTGAAAATAATGTGTAGCATTGTGTCCCTTTGTTGTGACAGGATCCTATGATTTGAGGGTTTGAATTGGTCAGCACGGTAACAGTAATAATCGGATTCACCGAAGTGAAACACATCTCAGCATCACTATGGGCCCGTGAAGATCCGGGGTAGAATAGGTCTTCAGCAACCCATGCTTGCCGTAAAAGGCGACTATACTTGTCATAAGAGGCGACTAACTGGATCGGGTGGTCAGGCTCGCTGACTTGGTTGATGCATGTCATTGTATCCCAATTGCGTAGATCGATGCTCATGATATCAGTCACTGGATTGTCTGGTCCAGGCTCGATTATTTACAGACCACCTCACATAGCTGGAATATTGCTGAGTGTGGCGTAAAACAACAAACAAATAAGCACTCTTACTCACTGCAGCTGTATCAAATCATCTTACCGTTGGACAGCTATTCCAGCAAGAGTTACCTCCCTTTATGCCTCGGGCTTCTCAAAATTCTTCTCATCCATGTTTTCTTTTCTTTGGCAGGGTGTATTTGCGGAACCCTATGGAACCTCCTGATATTGGTGGCACCAATGACGATCTGAGTGCTACCAAACTAGCAGACAGAGGTGGTACAAAACGTAAGAAAATAATTTAATCACGGGTATTTATTTCTTTGGTTCAGATCCGGTTGTCATTAATGGGGTCAACATTGAGGAGGGTGAGTGAGGGGATGTTGTTTTATGGTGCGGTCAGCATAATGGCAACCTTTAATTTACTATTATTTGGCCACACAAGCCAGTGGTTGATACCATGAGCATCGTCAGTGCCAGTGTGACTCTTCAACCACTCATTCCCCATTTTAACATTTGTTATGAGATGTTTTTCAAATTGAAACGCAGAAGTTACCTAAATTGTGAAATCAGAAACGACCACACAAGGTCAATAAAAAATCAGCACACATTTTTATATTTACAATTAAAGAAAGAATATAAAATGGGTAAAAGACTTGGCAGCAGCAATAAAAAACAGGCTCTTTAATAATTGTCAGTGCGCTCATATTTGTCTAGAAGTGAGGTGAAATGGGGTTTAACGTTGTGTCCAAGATTATTGCACTTATATAGCGACTTGCATGTACGTGTGTGTGTTTGTGTGGCTGCTTGTACTAGTCCAGACTGATGCCCATTTATAGTGCTAGCTCACTGAGATACCATGCCGCAGTTTAACATGACTACTCCACTCAGACACAATATACTGACTCCGAGTCGACCGGTCCTTGTTTTAGCCCCTTAATGCCGAGCGCCAGACAGGGTAACAACAAGTACCATCTTTTAACGTCTTTTGGTATGACGCGGTCAGGGATCGAACCCCGGACCTTCCGCTCTCCGGGCAGACGCTCTACCACAAGACCACGGAGGCGGCCTTGTTCCATTCAGCCTTTATCCTTTATCCAGAAGTTTGAAACTGTTGAATGTCTTGAAAGAGGCAGTGCTCCGTTCTTGAATCCGGAATCGTGTTGGAAGCTGGCAGGAATTCTGTATTTTCAGATAGGTATAAAGTTCATACTTGGCAAGCAGATAAGTCGAAAATCAGGCCATAAATGGTCTCAAATCACCCTCGTGTCGCTCTTACCAGTACCAGCCTTCTAGAGACTGTCCAATCCCCAAACATCTTGAACGATCAAGCCAGTAAGGTGCATAGACAAGCTCCTCACAGCGATAGTCCGTTAGCGGAGCTCTCTTTACTATCGCTGCCACCAGTCAAAACTCCCCACTGTGATAGGTAACCTCAACCATGCTTGGAGTTGAAATTTCAACCGAATGACCGTTATGTTTACAAACAAGTGACGACTGTCGTAATGCCGAATACACTTACTTCTGCTTAATTACTTTCTTTCTTTGTCAATTTGAATTTCTATTTTATTAAAACTATCGTGTTATTGATATAGTAAGAATGTAAGGGAGAAGTTGGTTGATTTTCTGTTAGTTTGCAATCTCGAACCAATCTGATGATACAAACAACAAAGTAAATTCTTCTGGAAAACATGGTCAGTCGTAAACCTTTTCAAAATTCACTATGATGGCATTCCCAAAAACATAAATAAAAGTATGAACGTTACTACATTTGGGGTTAGAGGCCAAATTTCAAGATTCTTGTAATGGCCGCGCCCACACTGGTGGCAGCAATGTTACCGAGAGTGTAACGAAGGTGTCACGTGCTGGGAAGGAGCTTGGTGTGTAGACAACTAGGGTTGGTAACTCTAATCACACTTCCTGTTAAAATCTGGCCACTACAGCTCTAAACAGTTTAAATACTTTCCAGTCTTTTGGTGCCGCTCATCACCACAGACATGCTTACAACAATCTCTACTATAGGTTTTCAGAGCCCTGGGCTTGTTATGAGGCAACTCAGGTGAGGATTGGATGGTCACAACGTGTGTCCTGGTCGATTGTGAAGCATCTTTCTCGGACTGGATGATTGTTGCATATTCTCTCAACCACAGGTTTTCCCCCCTCCCCCATCACATGAAATACAGACCTTCTACTCATCTATCGCCGATATTCTCATTTGATGTGGGTGCCATGGCGCTCAGAAATGACACGATAATGTAATGGTGCGACCTTATTTATTTACATTCGGAAGTTGTAGTTTTAGTTCGTTTTCGAGATACTGAAATCAGATGTGCTTGTGTGAATGCTTCGCTCACTTGTACCAAATATTTTAGAAGTGTAGAAGGTGGCTGATTGGGAAATTCACCTTAGGTGACCTCAGACCTCTTCACTGACAGGCATCATATGGAAGTATAAGATCTGATTTTAATGTGATTGGACCCCACCCAGATGGAACTACTTACATATGGTCAAGATCTGGTTGCCATGCTGCTGTTGACACAACAACATCACATTCCTCACTCAACATTTCAAATGGAGATCAACATGTGATTTTATGACCGCTTCAGCACTTATCCGTTTTGCCAGACAAATTTTATTATTTCATTTACAAATGTTTCTCTAAGGAAATACCTGAAGTCAAAAGGTATAAAAAGCATACAATTAAAATTAATTAAAATTTAATTTAATACAAACATCAATGACCTAATTTATTGCTGCATTGTGACACCTAATGTTTTTTCTTGTTTTGGGGTGGGTTTGGGGGATGCAATCTTTTAACTTTCAAGTCAATGTCAGTGTAAATTTTCGTCTGAGTAAAAGGGTTACTATAGTGGTTATTTCCATGTACAGAAGTTGTTTGTTTGTTTTTTAAAATGGTTATCATGGTTAATGGTTAAAATTTGTCTGATCATTTGATCTTATGAGTATTGTTGACAATTTGGAGACTGTCATTGAAAGGACATGTTATCACCTTATGATAGAACGTCATGTGTTTCTCTTTGTCTTCTCTTTCAAGGCCCATTCCCTGGAAAGAAACACAAGAACTATTCCAAACTAGAGAACGAGCCATCCTTCGAGGCCAAAAGTCCAACCAAAAAGACGCCCCCTGCCCAAAAATCAGCACCCTTAGCTGCAGTCTCTGGCACCCCGAGACAGAACAGTGAACGACCACTAGGGAACAGGAACTCGACTGGGAGTCGAGGATCCAATGCAAGTCGAGGTTCATCGGGAAGTCGAAGTTCAACTCGCAGTGTAAGATCAGAACCGGAGAAACCTTTGATAGACTTAAGTGAAGACACAGAGGAACAAGCACCTCCACCAAGAACAAATATCAAAACAACACGGAGCACGTTGTCGTTGTTTGACACGTTGTGCACACAACAGAACACAAGCCACTACGGTAACATCGATCTTCCTAAGCCGATCTTCTCAGACAAGGCTGAAGACCCTTTTGAGATTCAACCCAATCTGCGTGTTTACTCCTCAGACTCGTCCAAATCTTTTGAAGGCTCGTGGCAAGAGTCTCACTCAGTGTTTCATTCAGACAGAAATGTTTTCTCGGAGACTTCAACATATACGGTTCAGAAACCTGTCTCTGAAAAAGATAACCTGTCGTTGTCGCAAAACACAAATGATTCCGGATCAGGCTACTACTCTATGCCACCTTTAGAAGACCCCCAGTACAGTAAGATAGATAAAGTTTCCAATTCCTGTGTTGAGTCATTGAAGAGGAAAACTTCAGCGCCAGTCCGGCCCCCTCCCACTTACAATTCCAGTGATAAGTTCTCTCCGAGTGACCGATTGCATAAACACCCCGAACAAAAACCTCATTTTAATAATTTAGAGCGTGAACGCTTCAAACAAAATTTGGAAAAGACCTTGAGTTCTGGAAGCAGTGGTGAGAAACCATTATCGCCAACAAGAGGCAGTCCAGGTTCTCAGTGTATTTCAAGGTCATCTGGAGCAAGGTCACTGCCGTCTGCTCGCAGCCTGTCTGCAAGCTCCTCACCAGCTTCTCAGAGGCCTAAATTAATATCATCCTCACAGACATCTTCCCCAAACCCTGTGCGGAGTCAGTCAACCACCTCAAGACCAATCCCAGCCAATGCACATCCAGTGTTTCCACCCAATGCTTTTCCACAGCCATTAAACCCTTGTGTTCCAAGAAATTCAGACAATAAAGCCGACAAGGCTTTCGATTGGATTAATGATGCTATGAGTGATTTTGCAATAGCTAGGGCGAACAACCGTCAAAAGGCTTTACAACCTCCCGTGAAAAAGAACTGGGTTACCTTTCCTTTGTACGACGAGGTGCCAGTTGAAGAGCCAATCATGTCGAAACAGGAAGAGGCCTGTACACCAAGTCCAGGGTCAAAAACTCTTCGTATTGATGTTCACAAAGCACGATCTCATACCTTCGCAGGACAGTCGATGCCTGCACCTAGTCAAGGACCTGTGTTGACACCCCCAATATCTTTCCCTCAGTATGATCAAGTCCCGGTTGATGATGATCCTGAGGATGTCCGAAACGTTTCGAAGTACGCTCCTGCTTCAGAAGTGTCTTACGGACCCGATGCATGGGGTGATGACTTTGATTCCGACTTTGATGATGATGAGTTTGAGGAAGCGGATGCTAATATATGTGCAATGGCAGGTGACAACCCCCCTCCCCTCCCTCCGAGGGACTACCATGGAGGGGCGCACTCCGGCGGGGGGAGGGAGGCCGTAAACCAAAGACCAAACATTTATCCGTTAGTTCAGGATGGCAAACAGTTGAGTCACACACATTATTTTCTGATTCCACCGAAAGGTTCTCAGCGGGGTGTGAGCACTGCGGAGGTGAAGCCGTTCATGATGAGCCGCGATCAAACTGATGGTGAGCATCATCAGAGCGAATATCAAAACATATCATACACTTCTTCGAGGCCAGGTGAACTGGCTCAAGAAAACCCATCGTTCACATGGTCAAATATGAGCGGTGGTAAGCCGGTTGTTCCTCAGTCGCCACGGCAACAAGGGAGACAAGCACAGTCGCCAAGATCAAGGCCGGATCAACCCAAAAGCAGTGCACGGGATATCAAAGGGGGCAGTCACAATCGACAAACGGACAGTTTCGTGAGTTCGTCACCTCGGGATCGGATCGCGCAGGTTCAGAGCCAGGTCATCGGTGTGACTGATGAAGAGTGTCATACAGCATTGTGTCATACGCACTGGGATATGGAAAATGCTGTGAAATATTTGAAAACTGAACAGTTATTCCGACTCGGTCTGGCATCTCGAGATCACTGTGAGAAACTCCTGGTGGCGTTGCAGTGGAACTTGGAGCTTGCCAGCTCGGTGATGCTAGACGAAGTGCGGGGAAATGTGCAGGTGGAATCGACAGTGTGAAGACATTAGACTCCACAGTGTGATCGACAGTGTGGAGGCATTACACTGACAGTTATTTATTTATCTCAGTCAGTGGCATGTTAACCTAATTTGCAGATCTCGTTTGAAGGGCAATGTGAATGTATGTACCATGTTAGCACGTGAAGTATACTGAGACTTGCAAACTCATTTGTTTATATAACTTGGATTACAGGTGTATTCACAACCAGGCCGTAGGTCCTTGGCTAAAATAAAAATATATTCGAAAAATGACTAGATTGGTTTAATGAGAAGAGTTGCTGAGGGCGTTTCTTTGAACTAGACAAGAGTTGCCTCCCTTGCCATATCAATCCACTTTTGAAAAGTTTTCTAAACATTGTGATCTCGGTTGTTTTGGGATAAATTTTGGTTCAGTGGATAAAGTACACCAAGTGATATATCTTCCTGAGGCAAGGGAGGTAACTGACAATAAAAGTCCAGTTTCCACCATTGCCGAAACAGGCTGGAATTTCGAAGCTCAATCGTCGTGCCACCAGTGGTTATTACCAGTTATGTCCCTTTTCTTGACCAGTCAGATTCCACCTCTTGCAATTACTTCAAACAAAATGGCGGTGCCCAGTCAAGACAATCTGATCAATAATCAAGATCTATATTGTAATAATACGGGTCTTACCTCACGAAGTGCATTAAATCATTTCAGCACCTTGATTGAAAACATGAAAAGATTTGTAAAATATCTGTCGACACCCAGCTGGTGGAACACATGCTTTGCAAATCTTTCAGCCGATCGAAATCTGCATGTTGAAATTCATGTTGTTTACGAACAGGATGTCTAGTTCATTACACAATTTTGATTAGACTATCCACTCATTAGTCCAGCCAAAATGTAACTCCGGAATTCCAGCCACCTGTGACGCTACGATTGAGCCTGGAAATTCCTGCGTAGTTTGGCAAGGGTGGAAACTGGACTCTTATAGTCAGTTAACGCCCTTGCCTCTGGAAGATGGTGGCTTCTCACTGCTAGCCTTACTGGAAGTCAAGTTTCAGCCTCGGACCGTTGTAATGCCATATGCCAGATCCCCCTTCCCCAATTTCCCTCAATATTACTGAGAGTTCTCAGCACTCTGAAATAGATGTTCCCTGGTCAATCCCTGCACTGGTGTGTAGCTGTGGCAATATATACTACTCAAAAGATGTTAAGAACCACTGATTATTTCACGTTACCATAGAACTTTAATGGCATGACAGATTATAGTATTATGAGCTGAGGTGAAATGGGGTTTAACGTCCTGTTCAAGATAATTGCACTTACATTGCGACATGCATGCACATGTGTATTTGTGTGGTTGCTTGTACTTGTCCGGACTAATGCCGATTTTATAGTGCTAGCTGACTGAGATACCATGCCGCAGTTTAACATGAATACCCCACTCAGACACAGTATACTGACTCCGAGCAGACCAGTCCTTGTTTTAGCCCCTTAACACCGAACACCAGGCAGGGTAACAACAAGTACCACCGTTTAACGTCTTTTGGTATGACCCGTCCGGGGATCGAACCCCGGCCCTTCTGCTATCCGGGCCTATTGATCTATCCACTAGATCACAGAAGGGGTATAGTAAAATGAAAGAATCGGGTGATCCTTAACTTCTTGTGAGTAGTATATATCACTTTCATCAGTGATTACTAGGCTATATACCATGGATACATGCTTGTGTACATTTCATATCCCACTGCAATGGGTGTGTTATGAACATCGATTTTTCTTGATGTCGCACAATGATCGGCGTGAATATATCACACTTTTTATGCACAATTCACATGTATTTGCAGTGAGAACGACATGCCATGTATGTGCTTTAGAACAAGATATTGATCATGTCTGCAATCAGTGTGGCATACACTACATGTGTGTCATAAATAATGTCAAAAGTGTCATTATACGTCTGTAATGTACATTTCATATTTCATTTCAAATTGACAAGATACAACGTCTATGACATACATTGTGTGTGTTATACATTATATACTGAACAAAAAAGGTTTTTGATCATGAATAATTTTGGGGATGTTTTTTTTAAACATAAGGGGCAGTGGGGTAGCCTAGTGGTTAATGTGTTCGCCTGTCAGGCCGAAGACCCCGGTTCAATTCCCGACATGGGAACAATGTGTGAAGCCCATTTTTGGTGTTCTTCGACGTGATGTTGCTGGAATATTGAAAAAAAGGCGTAAGACCATACTCACTCGCCATGTAAACATATCCCAAAAAATATTCATGATCCCTTACTTCTTTTGTCCAGTATATGTATTTGCATTATTGTTGAGGTACGTTTCATATTTTCATAGCAGTCAGCATGTTGTACAACATATGTAAAATAGATATGGTTTATATATGCTCTATGTTATATTTAGATATGCCATCACTACCTGTTATATGTATATTCATATACACATCAATCCACATGATCATACGCCATGTTTACATGGTCTGTATTGCAATGTACATCATATTTGTTAGGTATATTTCGTATCACACAGTGACTTCATCCCATTCTGTGATCAGTTTCCTCATGTTCATATCACTCATTATCATATACACTTGCTTCGCTGTTGTAGCCCTCATGATGCAATCGTGTACATTTCCTAAACTCATACATTAAAGTTACTCATTTCAATGTTGTCAAAAATGTTATATAAAGTATCAGGTCATATTATTTTTTCATTTTATGATTTATGGAAATTTTACTTGAAAAATGTCCAGGGTATGTTGATAATTATTTTGTCAAATTGTTCCATATGAATTACGTATCCGACAATACACAAAAGTGCTTACACATAGCCCTGGTAATGGTTATCGTTATTTTAAAGATATATAGTAAAACCTGCAATTAAAATAACACGATATGAGAATATATTATTCGTCGCCAAATAGTAGTTTAAGATACTATTTTTTCCGATCATTGCATCAAATTTCTTTTCTGTTATTTTGTTGGGTATGTTGGGTATCACCGGCATATTGGTAGAAAACATTTGTACAGCTCATTGCTATTTCCTGCTTAGTTTACAATATAAAAGATAAAAAGCAATGCCTGCCAACAGAAATAGAGTCAGATAAAAGTGTAACCTATACATAGGCTGACCATTTCTACAGAATCTTTTTTCTGGTCCTCAAAATTCGGCTTATTTTTGGTCATATACGGTATTGATTTATAATAGGACAGTAATAAATATTTAAAGTAAACAAGTAATGCATTTTTTTACACTGGCATCAAGTTATACTTGTTTTTCATATACGATTTACATTATTATTGTCAACCCAACAAAGGACTTTTGGCTGTAATACATAGGTAACAGATGGAATTCATCAATACCAGTTTGTTTTCCATTTGATGTGCAGATAATAAAACACTTTATGAAGTGATACATTTCACAATAGAATAAAGAGGACCTGCAGGCATACTACAATACTAAACGCTTTTTTAAATGAGGACCTGTGACGATCCAGATTAGAATAGCTCTTCAGCAACCCATGCTTGCTGTAACAAGCGACTATGCTTGTTGTAAGAGGCGACTAACTGGATCGGGTTGTCGGGCTCGCTGACTTGGTTGATGCATGTGATCGTATCCCAATTGCGTAGATTGATACTCATGATATCAATCACTGGATTGTCTGGTCCAGACTCGATTATTTACAGACCGCCATCATATAGCCAGAATATTGTTGAGTGCGGCGTTAAACAACAAACAAAACAAACAAAATGACCGAGCTTCATTTCTAAACCACCTTGATTCTGAAGTTTTGATTTCGCAGGAGAACATACACAAGTGTTCCTTTGATGGAACTCCCTTTTAGGTGTAGAGGTTATAGCATGCAGAAAAGACAAGGTGAACAAAATACCCTCAACAATATGATGGTGCAACTTTTATCATTTACATTCGGAACTGTCTGTTTAAATCAGAAATCAGATATGCAGGTCTGAATGCTTAGCTCTTCCATACCAGGAGTTTTGAAGCCTTAGTGCTGAAAGTTAGATCAGATTAGATCATTAAGCTGACGTGACCGTCTTTGTTGTCAGAGGTGTCATATCGGATTAAAATATTTGATATTATGAGATTGTGTATACTGAGGCTTATGATAAAAGTGATAAAAGCAGACCTTGTCCAAGCTTTTCTATTTTGTCATTACAGTTTGTTCAGACCACGTACAATGTTTTCCTTAAAGACTTTAAGACTTTGACTCCGTCACCTAGCAGTAAATGTTTAAAGCTTCCTATTTCTTCGATGTGTGTCCATTCATTCTTGAAGACTGTGATGTTTTTAGTTGATACAGGTAAGGCTGTATCCCCACCGATCAAAATATAGAATACTAAACGAGCTCCCGTGTAATACCAATTTTATGAAACGAGTGAATAGTTGTGGTATCTGACGAGCGAAAGCGAGTCAGATACCACAACTATTCACGAGTTTAGTATTTTATTTATTACTTGCAATTTATAACGGTTTTTTAATTATACTGTTGAGTATGAATAGGCTGACACCTACATGATCCACGACATAGTCAAATTGAGTTTAACAGAATAATACTTCAAACACGTCAAAAGGTGAAACGTATGAATTTCATACCATGCAACTGGTCTACCTTTAGAATTCACAAAATTATCGTAGGGCTAAGACTTTCGCATCTCACATACTTTAACTTAGACCAACGACTGTCGTTGCGCTACAATACGATCGCCTTGTGGAACGGGCCTTGCACCTCAAAGTTTTCAATAACGTCACAATACCCGATGACGTAATTTGTGGAATTTTGATGCAAGATCCATCGGCGAAACAATGCCATGTGACGTCAGCCTAGCAACAAGGTTGCTGGGGTCATCGAGTGTGCATAAGCTCCTCTCAGTGATCTATCAACTCCACACGCAATGTCCTTGAATAAGCCAAGAGATGTTGAGAGCTTTCAATATTTGTTCGTGAAACGTGTTCCGAGGGTACATAAGCACGCGTTTTGGTATTACACAATGTGTAATAAAGCTATATGTTTATTAAACGGGTGATCTCTTCACGGGCAAGTAATAACACAATTTCTCTCTCATGTTCTGCTGATTTCATAGGGACATTTTTTGCCCTCAGTGCTTGGTGTATAGGGTTGTGTGAAAGGACTGATGATAGATTTAGTATCACTGTTACATTTGCATCAAGTAGAGGAAGCACTATTATGTGTTTAGATGGAGTAAACAGTTTGGTAGGTCCAGTTTTAGGGCAGGTGGGTTAGGGTGATCCACTGGTCAAAGGCACTGTGCAGAGTTCTGTTTGCCAAAATCACTGTGCAGACATCCAGTGGTCAAAGGTGCTGTTGAGAGCCAGTTGTCAAAGGTTCTTTAGAAGTCCAGTTGACAAAGGCACTGTATAGAGATCCAGTTGTCAAAGACACTGTGCAGAGCTCCAGTTGTCAAAGGCACTGTATAGAGATCCAGTTGTCAAAGACACCGTGCAGAGATCCAGTTGTCAAAGGCACTGTGCAGAGATCCAGTTGTCGAAGGCACTGTGCAGAGATCCAGTTGTCAAAGGCAATGTGCAGAGATCCAGTTGTCAAAGGCACTGTGCAGAGATCCAGTTGTCAAAGGCACTGCAGAGATCCAGTTGTCAAAGGCACTGTGCAGAGATCCAGTTGTCAAAGGCACTGTGCAGAGATCCAGTTGTCAAAGGCACTGTGCAGAGATCCAGTTGTCAAAGGCACTGTGCAGAGATCCAGTTGTCAAAGGCACTGTGCAGAGATCCAGTTGTCAAAGGCACTGTGCAGAGATCCAGTTGTCAAAGACACTGTGCAGAGATCCAGTTGGCAAAGGCACTGCAGAGATCCAGTTGGCAAAGACACTGTAGAGATCCAGTTGGCAAAGGCACTGCTGAGATCCAGTTGGCAAAGGCACTGCAGAGATCCAGTTGTCAAAGACACTGTGCAGAGATCCAGTTGTCAAAGACACTGTGCAGAGATCCAGTTGTCAAAGACACCGTGCAGAGATCCAGTTGTCAAAGGCACTGTGCAGAGATCCAGTTGTCAAAGACACTGCAGAGATCCAGTTGTCAAAGACACTGTGCAGAGATCCAGTTGTCAAAGGTGCTGTTGAGAGCCAGTTGTCAAAGGCACTGTGCAGAGATCCAGTTGTCAAAGACACTGTGCAGAGATCCATTTGTCAAAGGCAGTGTGCAAAGATCCAGTTGTCAAAGACACTGTGCAGAGATCCAGTTGACAAAGACACTACAGAGATCCAGTTGTCAAAGGCACTGTGCAGAGATCCAGTTGTCAAAGGCACTGTATTGAGTGGCATTCACTGATTTGGTCTGAATACGATCCTTGGTCTGTGAGCACCATGCTCGTGTCATAAAGAGTGGGGAACAACTTGCAATGATTTTGGCTTCCTTCCACAATAATCGAACTGTGATTTTGATACTGTTGAAAAGACATAAATCCTAACAGTAAGGTCAGGTTGTGGATCGAACTGAAGCTAAATCAACTTGTTCTTTTAAACCTTCATTAATCTTTTAATAGATAAGTCAATTATTTGTCATGTGTCATTGCTATGCCTTTTATCATCTAGCTAACACTTTGCATCACTTGCCAAATGATATTATTTACACTTTGTTTGTGTTGTATTGGACACTATGCTTACATGTAGAAAGCAAGTGCAGATGCAATGTGTCTGTCTGTCCCAGGTATATATTGTGATATTTGATTGACAGAATGTGCTATTTTGTTTGTGATTGAACATATAATTATTACGTGTATTGACTGTTAACTGACACTCATGCAAAACATGCACAACATGCACATGTTGGTATGATGCATGCACTTTTTGATATGATGCATGCACATGTTGATATGATGCATGCACATGTTGATATAATGCATGCACATGTAGATATGATGCATGCATATGTTGATATGATGCATGCACATGTTGATATGATGCATGCACATGTTGATATGATGCATGCGTGTGTCGATATAATGCATGCACATGTAGATATGATGCATGCACATGTTGATATGATGCATGCATGTGTTGATATGATGCATGCACATGTTGATATGATGCATGCACATGTTGATATGATGCATGCATGTGTTGATATGATGCATGCACATGTAGATATGATGCATGCATGTGTTAATAATGCATTCATATGATGCTATGACATTTTGTCCATATGGTTACCGAAGGAGTGGGGTAGATTTGGAGTTTTGTGTGCGCTCTTCACACTGAGTGGATCAGGAATACTGCTTATAGTGGTACAAAACCTGTATAAAACTTGTATTTGTAATTTCTGTGCTTGTAGTTAAGAAGTCAAAATTATGGTTGGGACTTAACTATAATAAACAAGCAAATATTCTTCTTCTTCTTTACCCCATAAGCCAAATGATAAGACCTAAAATATATGTTGTCGAATATGCTGGATTGGAAAAAAGGGTTGGGGTTACGAGATTATTTGTGTTAATATCATCATGTGTATATAATTACAAAGGACAAGTATTTCTGTTTGAGTCTGTTGTGTCTGCAGAATAGAGATCAGGAGATTCTCAAGGAGAAAGTGAACAAATTCAATTCTTGTATGTAGTTACTGAACCGGTGCCGTTGTACAAAACAACCTTATAACGCTACGACTGTCAGAAGTCTATGTCAAGGTATGGGAGTTACGATCACCTAAGAGGTACGACTGTCAGAAGTCCATGTCAAGGTATGGGAGTTCCGTTGACCTTTGCACTACAACTGTCGTAAGTCTATGTCAAGGTATGGGAGTTACAATCACCTAAGCACTACGACTGTCGTAAGTCTATGTCAAGGTATGGGAGTTACGATCACCTTAGCGCTACGACTGTCGTAAGTCTATGTCAAGGTATGGGAGTTACGATCACCTTAGCACTACGACTGTCAGAGGTCTTTGTTAAGGTATGGGAGTTACGATCACCTTAGCGCTACGACTGTCGTAAGTCTATGTCAAGGTATGGGGGTTACGATCACCTTAGCGCTATGACAGTCAGAAGTCTATGTCAAGGTATGGGAGTTACGATCTCCTTAGCACTATGACTGTCAGAAGTCTATGTCAAGGTATGGGAGTTACGATCACCTAAGCACTACAACTGTCAGAAGTCTATGTCAAGGTATGGGGGTTACGATCACCTTAGCGCTATGACAGTCAGAAGTCTATGTCAAGGTATGGGAGTTACGATCTCCTTAGCACTATGACTGTCAGAAGTCTATGTCAAGGTATGGGAGTTACGATCACCTAAGCACTACGACTGTCGTAATTTATGTCAAGGTATGGGAGTTACGATCACCTTAGCACTACGACTGTCGTAAGTCTATGTCAAGGTATGGGAGTTACGATCACCTAAGAGCTACGACAGTCATAAGTCTATGTCAAGGTATGGGAGTTACTATCACCTTAGCACTACGACTGTCGTAAGTCTATGTCAAGGTATGGGAGTTACGATCATCTTAGCGCTACGACTGTCATAAGTCTATGTCAAGGTATGGGAGTTACGATCATCTTAGCGCTACGATTGCTTTGTACAACGGCGACCTGATCCTGGACATATCAGTGTGAATGACAAACCAATTATTTACGTATGCTAAAGCTATATTTTTTAATATAACTATTAATTGTATAATGCAAGAGAAGTATTCAGAGGACTCCTGTATTACAGTGAGCAGATCTTACACTCTTGTCTTTTGATTGTATCAGTTTATCTTTTCCAATAACTTGCAAATGAATATTTCAATATCAAGAATATATCAAATTTATATGTGCACAGATGTAACTGTTGCTAACACATGAAAACCACAGGTACTGTTAGTTGTATGAAGTAGTTAACTCAAATCTTTATTGAGGCAGTGTTTGTCAAAAAGGATTCTCTTATTAAGAGGGGGCACAGGTGGCGCAGTCATCCAAGGCACCACAGTTCCCTGTGCAGAGTTGTGTCCCTTGGGCACGCCAGAAACCTATGATCGTGGGTTCGAATCCTGATTCCCCTGGATTATGTGTCTTGGTTTGTCAGCACTGGGTCTCATGGTACACATCTAAACCTGCATCACTTCAGGCTTTCCTCCCACATTAAGCTGACATGCTGTAATATAACTGGAATACTGCTGTTCCAAGGGCATTAAACCTCTCGCCGTCTTAAGAATTAGTAGCCATTCAAATCAAGATTTTGAAACTGCAGACGACAAGTAAATATTTATTAACCACAATTATATTGGAATTCATTTGAGAAAGGTGAGCTTCAGTCCCTCAACACTTTCATTTCATGTAATTTGTAACATGACAAGGGCTGGTGGCCGAGTGGTTAAAGCGACACAGGTACAATGTGTGGAGCCTATTTCTGGTTTTGCCAACCATGATATTGCTGAAATACTGCTAAAATCGGCGTAAAACCAAACTCACTTACTCACTGACAATCATGACAATGTTGAAAAAGTAAAGAAAGTATTTGTGTGAAAATGCTCATATTGAGGACTTTCAGAAACAGCCAGAAAACCAAAAACACTGTTGGAAGGATAAAAACCAAAAACACTGTTGGAAGGATAAACAGTCAGCAGACCTGGGGTGATATTCTGTACAAAACTGAGTTGAACCCAAGTACGCAACTTACCAGCAGAGGTAAAGGAAAACTGTTTTGTTGCATGTCCATTGAACTCGGCAATGGGGTAGCCTAGTGGTTAAAGTGCTCGCTTGTCACCAAAGGCCTGGGTTAGTTCCCTGTATGGGCACAAATTTGAAGCCCATTTCCTTTGTCCCTTCATGATATTGCTTCGAGCGCCGTAAACCTATACTCATTCTATTGAGCAGGGTCCGTCTGTTGATCAGCTGAGTTTCCTTGTTGATATACATCTTTATATTCCTAGTTAGCATCCATTTGATATACTTTGTTGTTATTATGTTTGGTGCTGATTGTTGCCTGGTCAGGGATGGATATAACTGTTGGTTTTCCATGAATGTTATTGTGCTTATATCATACCCCGTCATTTATACTACATGCTCGTTATTACAATAGAATTGTTCCAATGTCTAACCATATGTTTAGTGTAATAAGTATCCATGCCAAGGTAATATAATTTTTTTTAAATTCAAGTAGGATGTCATAAAATATGTCTTTACGTTTTAATCCTCAGGTGTGCGATTGTTTAAAGTGGAAAACACTTTTTTTTAAATTAGGATGTTCTTTAAATGGTTAAGTAAAATCGAATATTTTTTTTTTTTTTTTTTTTTTTTTTTAAAACATGCATTCCCTCATTTGTGTTGGTAGAATATGTGATACACATGTTAAAAAAATGTGTTTTATCTACGTTTATAGGCTATAAGACTTCTTACTTGTTGTGTTATAGAATTTAGCTTCGGGCTGTTTTTCAGGCAGACAAACTAGAAAGGAACTCTGACTGGAGGCCCTTTGTCCATACAAAGGACAATTATTTGCATAGAATTTGTTATTTGAGACATGAGGTGTCCATGTCGATTGTGTTATATTCTGTACAGGTACTGTATCGCTCAGTCGTATGAATATATATGTAATGTACAAGAACTCAGTACATGGCTTGTGTTTGTTATTCATTGTGGGCGAGTGGATTTGTGTGATCAGTTTGTGTGAAGCAAATGCAAGTGATATCTTCCTACACCTGACAGCCTGACACCGTACAGGTGATGTAACATTATCTTGCTACACCCTACAGTATTAATCAGGGTCAGGTCATGTCACTGACGGTGAGGAGGTGAAATGGGTTTTTTTGCACTTATGTTGGGTAACAACTAGTGCCATCTTTATTTGATGTGGTATGATGCGGCAGGGGGTCGAACCCCGGACCTTCCGCTCTCTGGGCGGAAGCTCTGCCACTGGACCACGGAGGCGGTCTCCGGGCGGACGCACTGCCACCAGACCACGGAGGCGGTCGTTACTGACGGTATCGGAGGCGGTCGTTACTGACGGTATCGTCTCATATGAGGTCAGTGACAACCATCATGTTATATCATGGTGCATGAATTGTCTCCATGTATGTTTCTAGGTTTGTTAGCACCATACCCGTGCTCGTGGGTTTCACCGAAGTGGTAAACGTCTGAGACCTGCATCACTTCGAGCTTTCCTCCCACATTAAGCTGACACGCTGCGATATAACTGGAATACTGTTAAAAGCGGCGTTAAACCCAACTCACTCACACTCCAACTGGTCTAGGTGCTCTTCACTTTCCAAATAAGTTGGTGCAACCCTGCAAATAGAGCAATCATCAGTCTCACACAAGTCAATGGCCACACCAGTCATACAACAATGGCTCTCTGCAACAGTCGTGTCCCCCACCGTGATATTGCTGGAATATTGATAAAAGCAGAATAAAACCATACTCACTCACTCACGCTGCAACAGTCAGTATCTCTCTGTCTAGGTCGTTTGTTTAATCTGAAGCCTTTCTCATGGTTTTACACTTCCAATGAAAACCTCATCGTGTTTTAAGCTATATGTATCTCCCTTACTTCATGTGCTTGAGGGGCGGTCGGGTAGCCTAGTGGTTAAAGCGTTCGCTCGTCACGCCGAAGACCCGGGTTCGATTCCCGACATGGGTACAATGTGTGAAGCCCATTTCTGGTGTCCCCCGCCGTGATATTGCTGGAATATTGCTAAAAGCGGCGTAAAACCATACTCACTCACTCATGTGCTTGTTGCTCTTCATTCTGTCTCAGCACTATACATTTATTGTAAGAATATAGTATGCGAAAATCATCACCCTTGAAATGAAGTGGCTATTCATTGACGTTCTAACTAGTATATAATTTTTTAATTTGAAGTTACACGATGTACGGCTTTTCCATTAGAAGAGAGGTCGGTCACATGACAGCGAAACTGACGCCACAATTTGACGTTGTAACATTTTTCACGAGACTATTCTTGAAATGACGAGGGGGCGGTGGGGTAGCCTCCTCAATGTGCTGAAGACCTCACATGGGTACAATGTCTGGAGCCCATTTCTGGTGTCCCCAGCCGTGACATTGCTGGAATATTGCTAAAAGCGGCGTAAGACCATACCCACTCACATGGGGAACTATTTTATTCCACAATACAGATGGTTGTTTATCTGTCAGTGTAAACGGGAGGTCACGTGTATAGATAAAGCGCTACATCTCTCGAGGAAGAAAATCGTGATATTTAAAGAATAAAAGAATTGACTTTCACTTTGCGTGAGTTCATTTGAGTATGAACCTTCATAGAGTGAGGGCCAAACATTGTATGAACGTCGTCGCAAGTTCCGACTGAGACTGCACAGCACACTAGAATGGCAATGTCCAACAATTTTGACGTATTACATCACTACCGTCGACCTTTAAAAAATAGCGTGTTTTAAGATTACTTCTAACTGGGTGGAAAATGCAAGAAATTAGCGCCGTGGTAAGACTTCCGCCCATATCCCCCCTCACAAATTTATATAATTAAAATGGATTGAGCATCAGTGCATAGGACATATACTTTTGGGGGGATACGGGCGAAAGTCTTTCATTTTAAACCCCTAATCCTTCTTACAATAATCTGCCAATGCATATTCTCAATAACTTGAATCCAATGAATGCGACGACTGTAGAAAACAGTAG